TTTCTCAAGCCAGACCCTGATTGTCTTGCCTTGGGGAAAAAAGTGGGGAGATGGGGGAGATGTCTTAACTACCCCCCTAAAAGGGTTGGGCCAGGCTCCTCCCAGTGGCCTTCAAAAAATAAATAAATAAACCATCCCTACTACTGAAGTAGGAGATGTGTAAGGGCGACCACTGGGGGACTGACGAAGAAGAGAGAAATAGTGTGTTTTCCATGGACGAGTTAGTAAAAGAGACCATTCTTCCCAGGAATCCCACCCCACCAAAACCAGAGCACAAGTCTGTCAGATGAACTATGGTTCTCCTTGAGATGGCTGGCTGGAGAGAAGTCCAGGGGCATGGATGGAGTGACCCCAGAAGGGGCAGTGGTGGTGGTAGTCATGGCTTCTGGGGCCCTGGGGAGAGCACCACGGGGGTCGAGAGGCCATCCATGCTGATGGAAGGGATGTGCACATGGGCGCTGCCACTGGACGGAAACTGAGGGCAAAAACGGAGAGGTCACAGATGGGAGCCATGCTAGTGTCTCTCACCCTCTCCAAGGTTGGGGGAGGGAATCCTACCTGGAAGGAGAGTTTGGCTGGGCTACGGGGTGCGATGGGACTCAGGGTGCTCCAGAAGTGAATGCTGGGGGGCAGCGAGCTGGGCGTCAGCAGCACCGGGGTCTGCATGGAAAGGGTGGTCAGAGCTTAAGTGAGCAGAAGGCAGATGTGGGAAGATGAAAGGAACTTGGTCTCAGCCCACTACATTTTCTCCACTCCAGACGTCTACAGTCACTGGTCAAGATTACAGACTGAGACTATAACTACTAAACCTATGTCCATGAAATCTCTCATACTCTACACAGAGAGCCCTTCCCAACTCCTCAGAGTCCACTTCCAGTTGCTGAGACCACACTGGACAAGACAACCACTCAGACTCTAACCACAGGCTGCTCTCAAGCCTCACATGTTACCATCCCAATAGCTCAGGGTCTATGCAAATCCTAGAGTATAAAGCCGCACCCCACCCAGAAACAGTTCCCATAGAAAGCCTCTGGGAGTCTTACACCCACCCCTAAAAAGTCCCCAGATCTGCCTTTCCTAAGGTTGCATCCTACTCCAAGCCTCAGCACAGCTGATCATCCTGAAAAGTTCTACCCTCCTCAGAGATAACCACATTAGCCCTAGGGTGGTAGATGTCAGTCACCCATTATGTGCCAATCCCATCCCTCCCAGCCGCCAGCCACACCCCTCTACAAGGACTCACCAATGTATGTGTAGGTAGCAGGGATGGCGTCAGTGCTGGCCCTGGTGCCTGCAGACCAGAGCCAGTTCCTGATCCTGGAGTCCGTTCGGGTCCTGGTCCACCTAGCAGGCTCGGGCTGAGTGGAAGCTCCAGGTCCCGGGGCTTCCGACCCTTCTGTGGCTGAGGGATCTCAGGGGTGGAGGCCGCATGGCCACCCACTTGTGCTGTAGTCTCCATAACAGAGGACAGCTGGGCCGGCACACCCTCCTCAGGAGGGACTTCTGGCTCAGCCTTGGCAGATTCTGGCACAAATCCCGCTTCCCTAGCAGCTTCTAACTCTTCCTTGGGCCCTTCCACCTTCACTTCTGGGGGAAGTGACTGGCCCAAACCTGGCTCCACATTCAGCTCTTCTGATTTCAGGTTTGGAACCTCAGGTGGAGTCAGGATGACCTAGGAAAAGAGGGCACAAAAGGATTGTTGAGGTAGAGAATCTTTCTCCTGTAGGCCACTCAATGATTTCCCTGGGAAGATGGGATTTGGTACTGGGAGCATGACTACCCATCTGGGCAGGTCCTCCTACAGGACATGGGACTTCTTAAAGGAAGTAGAGCTTCCTCTGGGGCAGGTCTTTTTTGCCTGGGGTGAAAATCTGACAGGGGAAGGGCTCCTGATATCAGCCTCATTCTTGAGAACAGCAGTTCTCAAAAATTTACTTTAGGGCCAAGGATGTAGCTCAGTGGTACAGTGCCTGCCTGGCAAGCATAAGGCCCCTAGTTCAATTCCCGGTACCAAAAAAACCCCAAAATTTACTTTAAAGACCAGTACCATCTACCTCATTTTGAAACTCATTAAAAATGCAATTTTTTGCATCTCGTCCTCTGATCCTCATAATCAGAAACTCTGGGGGTGGGTCCCAGCAATCTGGCTGAACGAGCTACCCTGGTGATTCTGATGAACACTGATCAGTAAGAACCAGTGCATTAAGTAATTACATTCAGGGCATGTACTCTATGTTGGGCAACTACTAATTGTAGCATACTTATTCTCCCTCTTCCTTCTCAGGATTTGCATAGCTCTCCTCCTCATCCCTTTCTAAAGGCAATGTCTTTGTTCCTCCTTCTACCTTTATAGCCCTTAACAGGACTTCTGTCTCTTCTCGTACCAGTCCCATGCCTCAGTTCAGAACATGCATCCCTCCTCTTTACCCGCCCCCACTGAATTTCCTCACTCACCTGCAGAGGCAGGCTGGCCTCTTCTGCCTCCAGGCAGGCCTCCAAGGGGTTTGGACTGGTGCTCCTGCTCCCTGAGGGGGGCACTGCTGTTCCTGCAGGGGTGGTGCTGGGGAGCACCGAGGCAGGCCGAGGATGAGGGGGTGGCTGTGGCTGTAGGGACTGGATGGTGAAGGTGGAATAGAGGCCCGAGCGCATATATTCATTTCGGCTGCTGCGTGCCAAACCGCCTGGGCCTGCCATTCCTGTACCCTTGGGTGTGCCTGGCTTTCCGGAGGCACTGTCCCCAGGGGCTGTGTGTACAGCAGCAGGGGCCACATTTGCCACACTAGAGGTTACAGACACCTCAGGCTGCGGTGGGCAGTCCTCTGTGGAGCACCGTGCAACCTCAGGGTAGGACACAAACTTGTAGACGAACTTCTGGCCACTCACCTTGCGGATGATATTCTGAGAAGGGAGAAGACAGAACTATAGGCCTTAAAGGAAAAGGGCAGGGTGGAAGAAGGATGCTGATGGTTATTTCCCTTCTGGCATCTTCCTACTTGTTCCAATTTCACTCATCTGCTTCTCAGTTTGTGGGCTCCTCTATTTTCCTGTTTATATCGCCTCCCTTTCTTTTTCTTTCTTTTTTTTTTGGTACTGGAGATCGAACTCAGGACCTTGCACTTGCCAGGCACTTGCGGCACCACTGAGCTACATCCCTGGCCCATCTCCTCCTTTTCTTCCACCTCCCAAGTTTCTCCCTTTCTCTATTTCCTCCTTCCATAATTCCTTCTTTTGTACCACTTTTTTCTTTCTGGCTCAAAGAACTACAGGTTAACAGAGTTGGGTCTTGGGGTGGCTGCCAGGACATAGTTTTAGAGATTAGCTACTGCAATAAGACAGAAAAATGAAGTAACTGATCTAAATGTTGGCAGACTAAATTAGTATAGATAAATGGAGTAATGAACTACTGATACAGAAAATCATTTAAAGCTATCGACACAGACATGGAATAAAGCAAAGTCATTATGAAAAACAGGGCAAAGCCCTATTGTGGAAAGTAGTAACTGACAGCAATTAGACAAGAACATTAAGATACTGGTGTAAATACTGGGAGAGGGATCTCTGGGCTGGCTTGTGTGGGTCACAGAGCACATTTGGGGGTATTTCAGGACATCTCTAGTCTGGAGGGTGTCTGGTAGTTTCAGAGGGCAAAATGAGATAACCTCATTATAAACACTGTGTTGGAGGCTTGAGCTAAAGGAATAAAATATGAAAGTGGAATATATACCATAAAATGGCATGAATACCTTAAGTTACTAATGATATGAAACACAGGTATAGGGCTGTTTTGGGGGGCAAGAGGAATCTAGGGGGCACCAGGGCATTCTGTGGAGGTCATAATGCTAGTCAGGTATGTCACAGGGTTGGCTTATGTTTCTCAGAAAAGCAATGTAAAGGGATATGAAATTAACTGGTATGAATACTGGGTGGAGGAGACATCCAGGAGTGCTGGTCTGTGGGTCTGAGAAGACAAGATGAGGAAAATCTAAAATTTTAGCTGTAGGAATAAGATGATAAAACAATTGATGTAAATGGTGAGGTGGACCAGCTTTGCTCTGGGAATCCCAGATGATGGAGTGAGGACCTGGCATTATACATGTTGTTTCCGCGGCATCAGCTAAAGGAATAAGAGAAGAATGGAAAATAATTGATCAAAAATGTTAGGGGTTCCTGAGAATGAAATAAGGAAATTACGATACTACTGTCATGGTGGTTTTTATTCTAAGAATAAGAAGACGAAACAGCTTGGAGAAAGAGATTATTAAATAAGTAGGGGAGTCCAGCGTTGGTCCACAGGTTCCAGAGGACAGTCACTGTTAATAGTGTTCTCAAAGTTTGGGCTATAAGGACAAGGCACAGAAATGAAATGTTATGCAGGGCATGGCAGGACAGCACTGTTTGAGGGATCTCAGACAGTAAGATGAGGCGCAGTCAGTATTAATACTGCTGTAAAGCTTTTAGCCAAAGCATAAGACAAGAAAATACAATAACTGAGATAAATGTTTGGGGGCCCAACATTGGTTTGAGGGTACCAGAAGATGGGATAAGAAATGGTAAATTTTAATACTGCTTTCAACATTATAGTTACAGGAATTAAGAAAATGGAATTTTTTTCTTTTTTTGTGGTGCTGGGGATTAAACTTAGGGCCTTGTGCATGTTAGGCAAACACTCTACCACTGAGCCACATCCCCAATCCTGAAAATAAAAATTTTGATACAAATTTCAGGGGATCCCAGGTCTGGTCCCAAAGGCCATACCTTGTCATAGTAGTACCGCAAAGCTCGGCTGAGCTTGTCATAATTCATGTTGGTCTTGTTCTTGCGCAGTCCCCACAGCCGGGCCACCTCCTCTGCATCTACCAGTTTGAACTCACCACCATCCCGCGAGGTCCATGAGATGATGTGCCCATTGCCTTGCTCTCTCAACAGCTGCAGCAGAAACTGCCACAGTGTCACAGATGGGTCCATCGCGGGGGAGTGCTCACGCCATCCCAGGGGTACCTGGAAGGCAGACAGCTCAGGGCTGAGAGGTTGTGGGTAGATGAGGGAGCAGAGGACAGGAAAAGGACGATTTTCTTCTTGTTATCTTGCTTCCACCTCTGTCCCCAAGCCCTACCACCATTCTCTAAATACTCTTACACAAATGTCAAAGCTCCCCAGTTTAGCTTTGGATGCTCCCTGTTATGGGATGAGACTTTTAGGGATCTGAGGATGGTGTGAATGTATTTTGTGTGGGGGACAAATGTGAATCTTTGCAGACCAGAGGGCAGACTGTAGTTGCAGCCTAACACCATCTGGGCCCCAAAGATGTCCATACCCTAATCCCTGGAACCTGTGCATATGCTATGGTTGACGGCAAAATAGAAACTTTCAGATGAAATTAAGATCTTAGACCTTGGGCGGGGGATTTAGCTCAGTAGTTCTGGCGCCTGCCTTGAAAGCGCAAGGTCCGGAGTTCGATCTCCGGTACAAAAAAAAAAAAAAAATCAGACCTTAAAAGCTGAAGAGAGAGGCAGAAACAGAGCTGAGAGATGGATGAAAGAACAGGTGGGAGAGAGTCTAAGTGTGAGAGGGACTCGATCTACCATCACTGACACTGAAAATGAAGAAATGAGACTCCAAGCCAAGGAATGTGGGGAGCCTCTTAAAGTTGGAATGGCTCTCAGCCAACAGCCAATAAAGAAACAGGGACTTTGGTCCTACAACTCAAGGAATGGAATTCTGCCAACAACCTGAATGAGCAGGAAATGCTTCTCCCCTGGAACCTCCAGAAAGGACCAAGCCCTGGCATTATCTTGGTTTTAGATTGGTGACACCAGTGTTGGATTTCTCACCTATAGAACTATCAGAGAATATTATGTTGCTTTATGCAGCTAAGTTTGAAGTGAATTTATTACAGCAAAACTAGAAAACAAGTACACATTCCCATTTGACCTTTATCATCCACATTTTCTACCACATCAATGTCAAGGTTTTCAGGAGGTGCCTTTTGCTAGACCTCTGCAAATGCTGTTTGCCGTGTATAGGGCTCCCTTCCTTTGTTTAGCAGTCTTCCTCATATTTCAAGTCTCAGCCCAAGGGTCCTTTTCTTCTTTCCTTTATGAAGTCTTCCTGAAACTGATTATTTGTTCTCGTCTACTCCTCTCATCTGTCACTGTATGTTTTGTTTTGTTTTTTTGCAGTGCTATGGATGAATCCAGGCCTTTGTACATTGTCTACCACAGATCTCCAATTCCAGTCCCTATTCTTCTTGAGCACACTAGTAACTAACATTTATGGACTGCTTAATACGTGTCAGGAACTGCTCTGAGCAAAGAGGCAATATGGCAATATTGCCCAGGATCGAATACTAGACTGCCAAGCTCTGAATCTTGGGTCTGCCACTTATTAGCTATATGACCCTGGGCATATTCTTTTTGGTACTGAAGATTGAAAGCAAGGCCTTTGCACTGAGGTATATTCTCAGCCCTTTTTAGTTTTTGATTTTGAAACATGGTCTTGCCAAATGATTAAGTTGCTGAAGCAGGTCTCAAACTTGCAATCCTTCTGCCTCAGACCTCCCAGAGTGTTAGGATCACAGGTGTGCGCCACCACCTCTATCTACCCTGAGCAGTCTATAACCTCTTTGTACCTTAAATTCTCTCATCTGTGAAATAGAGATAATGACATGCCCATCTGTGAAATGACTACTGTGTGGATTAAATATAATACGCCTGTGGTATGATAAGCTCTAAAAAAATTAGTTTCTGATTTGTTCCTAATTCCTTATCCACTATCCTAAAATCCATAAAGCTCTAAAAACAGAAAGCTTCTTTATAATTCTTTTGGCAGCAAACTCTGATTTGAAACAAAACTAGGCCCTTTCTGGTCTTTATTCATCCTCACTTATTGTGGATGTTCGTACACTCTGCTGCAGAAATACGAACACAGCCGATGGCAGAGCTTGCTGCGAGTGTTATGTAACATATCATATGTGCACCATGTTACCTTTCTAGAATCTGAAAAATTCGCAGTTCTGAAACACATCTGGCCCTAGGGGTTTTGGATAAGGGCATGAAAACCTGGACTACTATTTTTTTGTTGCCAATGACTCATTTATCCTTCATCCCCACTCTGGAAAGTAGGTGTGTTTATTATCACTAATTTATAGATGAAGTAGCTGAGGAACAAGATGTCTAAGTGACTTCCACAGGCCACACACCCGTAAGTGGCAGGGCCAGTATTTGGGCCCAGCAATCAGGTTCCTGTGGTCTAAGCTTTTTGCCATAAGGCTAAACTGCCCTCACACTGATGGCTCACTCTTGGCATATCCTTCAGAGAACAGATTCTTCCCTGTCACTGCATCAGTGCTCTTTCCTGGCAACAAACTGGGCATAAACACAAGCCTCTGGCTCCCCAAGGGAATAACTTTCATCAATCAACCGTCCACTGGTCTCAGTGGATTGCTGGATTAAGAATAAACCTTCTAAACCAGAAGGTATCGAAGAACCTACCTCTATTATTTATGGCTTTGCTCTTTAATCTCCAGTGAAATATAAAATATGATCCTCTTATGTCCAAGCTAACTCCAAGTTCATGAGCTGCACAGTGTGAGGCAACTGTACACGTCACAAAGCCATGGAGTGCCAGATTCAAGAGTCCTTTCCTTGAGATATCACTGTGTTTTATTTTGAAGGCTGGCTTCTTTCAGAGGCCCAGAGAGGTCAGTGTGACTCCTGGTGGTGAAAATAGGCAATTTTTCCCCATTCCTCTGAGCTGCAGCAGAATCTCTCAGAAATGTGAAATGTGATGATTGGGTTCCAACCTCAACAGCACACAGGCTCTTTTTGTTTGTTTTGCTTATTTCACTTTTTTCACTTGACCCCTAGGAAGAGTGCTTATAATCTGCCTTACTCATATGGGTTTATTTCTCTTCACCTCATTTACTCAGCAAGCTTTTATTGAGTGCCTACTGTGGGCCAAGTGCTGAGATATAGCCATGGACACAACAGATAAGAATCCTTGTTCTAGCCAGGCACAGTGTTGTTCATTTGTAATCCCAGCACTCTAGGAAGCTGAGGCAGGAGTTTCACAAGTTCGAGCCCAGTGTGGGCAACTCAGCTGGGGATATAGTTTAGTGGGCAAGCCCTGGGTTAGATCCCCGCATCATGGGGGAAAAAAAGGAAGGAAGGGAGGGAGGGAGGGAGGGAAGGAGGAAAAAGAAAAGAAAAGGAAAGAAAAGGAAAGGAAAGGAAAGGGAAAAAAAGGAAAGAATCCCTGCTCTGGCCCTGCATGGTGGTATAAGCTTGCAATCCCAGCACTCAGGAAGAAGGAAGATGAGTTCAAGGACAGCCTGGACTACATAGTGAGATCCTGTCTCCAAACAAACAAAAAGAATCCTTGATTTAGTAGAGTTCACATTTCAGTGGGAACAGATAAGAAACAAGGCAAACAAGTCAAGAATACGGGAGATGGTGGTAAGGGTTATGAGAAAAAAAATCAAGCAGGGAAAGAGCTGTTATTTTTTCCAAGGGCAGTCAGGGGAGGATAGTCATTGAGAGGTAGCATCTGAGCAAAGACCTAAAGGAGGTGAAGAAGCTAGGCTTGGGTGTATCTGAGGCTGGGGTGTTGGGCAGGCTAAGGGAAAGAAATGCAGCCAGTCAGGGGGGAGAGGAGCAAAGGGCAGATGAGAACACAGGGGTGCTGGGGCCCCAGATGGGTAAGGCTTACATGGGCACTGTCAGGACTTAGATTACAGGTGAGACAGGTGCCATGAGAGGGATGTAAATAAAGAGGTGACAGCCTGTGACCTGGATTTTAACAAGATCCCCTTGACTGCTGTGGGAACAGCTCCTTGGGTTGAAGAGGCTACTGCAGTTGTCCAAGTGAGACACTGGCGGTAGCCATGGAAATGCTGAGAAATACCTGGGTTCTGGTTAAAATCTAGAGACAGAGAAAAGAGATGCACAGAGAGTGTGGCAGTGAGGGAGAAAGGAGTCCAGGGTGATTTTAGGTTAGTGGCCTGATCACCTGGAAGGGTGGTGGTGTGATCAACTGAGAAGGTGCATTGAGAAGAGGTTTTGAGGGGAGAGCAGGAGGCCAGTTTTGCAGAGGGTTAGCTTCAGAAGCTCACTAGACACCAATGAGCATGCTATGCATAATATTAACTTAAAAATATGAAACAGCCATACAGTGTACCGCACAGTTTTAATCAACTAGTCCTAAAACCACCTTGTAGGTGGCTTTTATCATTTCCCCCATTTTTCAGATGAGGCAATGGAGGTACAGAGAAGTTAAGTAACTTGTCCAAGGTCACACAGCTGGAAGCTGGTGGAGCTGAGATTCAAACCCAGGTGACATGGCTCCAGTCAGCAATCTGAGCCACTCTACACCAGCTGTCTATGAAGAGAAACACAAAAGGGTAGGACCCTACACAGGGTGAGCAGGGAGGGCTTCCCTGGGAAAAGTGGCATTTGACCCAAAGGAGAGAAGGTACCAAGCCATGCCGACATATGCAGAAGGGGACCTCTGGCAGAGAGAATAGCAGTCCAAAGCTCTGAGATTGTCACCCTGCACTCACCACATTTCGAAGGAGAGTTCCTACCTCTGAGGATAAGCACGCGCTGTTCCGCCTATGAGGAGGGCCATTCCCTCCCCTGACAAACGCTATTACACAATCAAGTCCCAGTACCTCCTAGGCAGAATTAATTCTTCCTCTGCATGATCCAACACACTGTGGAAACTGTCTGCCCTATTAAATCAAGCTCTTTTCTCTGGGTCTTCAGCCTTGTACCCCTCTGCTGTACTGTCTGTGAGACCTTGAGCAAGTTGCTCAACCTCTCCGAGCCTGGTTGCTCATCTGTGAAATGGGGATATTTGACTTTCAAAATCTAATATTCTCAAAAATACACCTACCCTCATGGGCTTTTATGAGGATTAAATGTGTATGTAAAAGATTAGAAAAGTATCTCTGGCACATGGTAATCCCTCAAGAAATGGCAGCCGTTAGCTACTGTGTCAAACTTCCTCCTCCCCTCAAATGTTGTTGTAACACCATGGCCTACAGCCCACGCCATCTGGCTCCTGTCACCTCTATGACTGCATCTTCTGTCCCTCCCTCCACTTTGCTCCAGCCACACTGGCCTACTTCATGTTCCTTGAACATGGCAGGAATGATCCTACCCCTGGGCCTTTGCACAGCCTTTGGATATTTCTTCTGTCCAGTAAACTCTTCTCCTACACTTTACAGCTTCTTCCCCTCATCTCCTTCAGGCCTTAATTCAAGAGTTACCTTTCCAAGTGCAGCCTGTCCTATGCCTATGACTTCAATCACCCCAATTCTCCATTCCTATCTGCTCTACTTCATTTTTTCTTCCTAGCGGTTGTCTAACATACTTCCTAAATTTACTTGTTTATTTGTAATATAGCCTGTCTTTCTCATTTTTAATAAGTGTCTGCTCCACAAGGGCAGGGATTTCTGCCTATCCCCCCACCCTGCCCCTAAAAAAATGCCTGGTACTCACTAGGTGTGCAGTAAATATTTGAACAGTCCAAACTAACACCTTAATTAGCAATCATATCTCTTCTCCATTTGACCCCACAGTGCTATCTGAAATGATCATTTCCCCCATTTACTCGTGCTATAAATTTTTCTCAAGTACCTAGTGTATACCAGGTACATTTTTAAGTGCTGAAAAGGGAGCAGCGAATAATCAGACAAAATCTGTAAGTTCTCATGGGGAGGGACAGAACATGCTAACTGTACAGTGTGGCAGACAATAATAGAGGGCAAAGGGACAAAGCAGGGAAGGGGCCTGAGCCCTGCTGGTGTACAAGATCAGATAGTCAGGGGATGCTGACTTTAAAAAAAACCACAAATAGCATCCTTAGAAACATTTTTTATACATGTGTCTTTATATAGTGTATTTCAAGCACCACAGTGTGAAGAACACATGCTTTACTGAAATAACACCACCCAGATGCAATGAAATAAAAGTGCCCTTAGAAACATCTTTTCTCTCTGTGCCTTCAGAGTATTATTCATCACACTTCTGTGAACACATCCTTTCGATAAAATAACACTCACCTTATTCATAAATCAACTGGTATTCTTGGAAATACCTTTTATACATGTGTCTTATGTAGTGTGTTCCCTGCGCCAGAATGTGGTGAACAAATTCTTTAGGGGTTGGCACTTGAACAGGGCCCTGGAAGGAACCATGCCAGGATGCAGGAGTAGTTTTGGGGCAGAAAGAACAGCCAATGCAATCACCCTGAAGTTGGCCCATGCCTCCTGGATTGAGGAGCATTTAGGGGGAGGCCAGCATTGCTGGAGCACAGGTCTGGGGTATGGGACGATGGAGGTAAGGCCAGAGAGGTGACTTGCTTTATTAACTCACAGGTATGCTTTATTTGCACTGGAGGGGATTCTAGCTCTGACTCCCCCTTTTAGAAATGAGGAAACAGGTACAGGGAGAAAGTGGTTAAGTCATTTATCTGTTATACAGCTCCTGGCATTGGGGTGGGTGGGTGCTGAGACCAGGTGTAGAACAGACAGCTCTGCAGGCAGAGAGAAGAGCCAAACAAAAGCCTGGAGATGGGAACTAATTTGGTTTTTAAGAAATGGGGCCTCCTGCGGGGAGTGATGAAGTAAAACAGAGAAGCCTCAAAAATGATCCTGTTCCCTTAGTATTTACTGGGCCACCTTTGAGTAAGGTATTTAACCACCCTACGCCCCAGTTTCCTCAGTATTTATCTCATATAGTTGTGATGAGGATTAAATGGCTTGTGAATATAAAACACTCTGCCTGGTACATAGCAGAAACTCAATAAATGTTAGCTCATATCGGCATTATCATCAATATCTCTAATGCATTTGCTTACTGCAGTGAGACATAATGCCTTGGGGGTTAAGCGTATCAAGAGAGTGTGCTCTACAGTAAAAAGCCCTGGTTCAACAAGTACACAAGCTGATCTAAGAGATGAGGGGCAGGGAAGATCACAGACTGATCCAGCACAAGATTACAGGAGGATATGGTTTGTGGGGGGGGGGGTGCATGTGAAAGCAAGCACAGGGGGAGTAAGCAGGCCAAGAAACAGATCACTAGAAAGGTAGGGAGGGGGTTACCGTTCATTTTTGGGAGGGGGGCAGCAGAAAAACTTACTGAAAAAGCCATCAACCAGTGATTAAAGGGAGAGAGGGACAGGATCATACCGCAAATGAAAAGATATAAAGCACCAAACTGACCCACTATTAAAAAAGGACTGGAGTCTACAAATAAAGGAGGAGAGTCAGGGCAATGGACTATTAACTAGGGGGCTATGAAGACAAGCATGTAGACTGATCCATTACAAGATCGGGGTGGGGGTGAGAAAAACCATGGGCTGATGCATTGGGGGTTGGAGGAGGCAGGAATACAAACTCAGAAGGACTCACTGTTAGAGGAGTGAGGAGAGGGGTGGGGGTTACAGCGCAAGGATCGATTCACTACAAGGAACAGAAGAGATGGAATAAACAAGGAAAAAGACAGGTCCCCTGAAAGTTGAAGCTAGGAGAAATACAAACACTCAGAGGCACCTACTATTAGGGAGGTTGGACAATGCCACAGACTGGTACCCAGTGATGAGGGTTGGGGGGACAAGACCATGAAGGACAAGTCCATTGTAAGTTGGGGCGGAAAGAAATATAAGCACGCAGACCGATCCATTATACAGCGGGAGAGGGAGGTTAGGCCACGGTCAGATCCAAAACAAGGGGCGAAGGGAGGGGGTAATGCCACACGCAGGCCCACCAGCCGTGGCGGTGGGGAGCCCAATACCAACAGGCCACCGGCAAAGCCACATCCCTCGTGCGGGGGCGAGAAGGATACGTGGGGTCACGGACTGGGCCCTCCACCCACCAGGCCCAGGGCTCTCCACCCACCAGGCCCAGGGCTCACCTGTGAGTGGTGCGGTGGCAGCTTTGGCAGCTCCGGGGGGCGGGGGCTCCATACGAGGCCCCACCGCCCCCCAGGCCCGGGTTCTGAGGCGGTGGCGGCGGTGGCGGTGCTGGTGGCGGTGGCAGTGGCGGTGCTGGCGGTTGCAGCAACACCTAGAAGCCGCCCCTGCGTTTCCCCACCACTCACGTGGGCCCCTAAGGGAGGAACCGAGCGAACCACCGCTCGCTGATTGGCCAAAAACCTTGGCTCTACCGCACAGCTTCGGGGCTGGGGGGCGGGCCCTGCCCCACAGAGCTTATATCATGATTGGCTCATGGGGAAATGATGGACCGCGGCCGGCCGATTGAGTCCCTGTGAGACGTGATCCGCCTCGCCGATCCCCCACGCTGATTGGCTCAAGGAAGACTGCTAGGATGTGAGCTATTGACAAGGTTCGGGGGACGCCTACCTCACACTGACTGGCCTAGAAGGGATTGATGGCAGCCAGCTAGCCTATGAGGAAGGAGGTGGGTGGGCCTTGTTTTCAGTTGATTGGAGGAAGAGACTACTAGACAGCTGCCAAAATACCAAGCGGGAGGTGCTGCACACCAAGCTCCTCAACGGAAGCGGGACTTACATAGTAATGGGCGTAGCAGCCAGCAAGGAGAGGGTGGGGCCAAGGCCTGCATAGGCAGGCGAGGGTAATTCTACGGTGATTAGCTAGAAAAGATGAATTCAGAACAGAGGTATGGGGGGGGGGGGGCAGCTGCCAGACTAGCAAAGCTCTTTGAATGGCAGAAACTAAATGTCTACAAGGAAGGCAGGGTCCAGCTGGGCTACAGAGTGGAGCCTGGTTCTTTTGGAGGTTAGCAGGACTTAACCTAGAATAGGGGGTGCACCAGGAAGGGCGGGATCTGTGCCTATTGGTGCTAAATTGGATCCATTCAGAAGCAGGGCCAGGGCCAAGGTCAGGTTGAGATAGGTGTGGGTGTTATGTAGGGTACCTAAGAAATGACTGGGGTGTGGAAGGGAAATCTTAGGTTCAGGAGTGATATGCTGATGGCCACGTGAACAAGCCTCCACCCTGAATTCTCCATTGCAATTCAAAAGGTGGTGTCCATGGAAAGCAAGAGTGAGGTAGGGCCCAGGTTGTCAAGTGACAGAAAAGTGGGCAGAACAAAAAGTCAAGTGGCAAATACTGCCAATGAGCTGGAGGTACGACTTCCGGGTGCTTTAGATTTCTACACAGAGACTGGATCTCTGGTTTCCCAGTAATTTTGTGCTTTAGAAACCAGACACCTTGGAAACCAGCAAGGGTTAGGGGGAAAAGAAGGGCCATGTAACTCAAAGGCATTCGGGTTCTTTAATGTCGGAGGAGGACGAGAAGAAATCAATGGTGAGACGTCTCTGGGAAGTTCTGCAGGCCTTGTAGTTCTCTAAGCCCCTGCAAAAGAAGACAGAAGAGACTGAACAGATGCTGGGTCTACGCCCCACTGTGGCCTTCCTCTGACTTCCCCTTCCCTGGCTCCAGTTTGGAGGGAAAGATGGTCCTTCCCTTCCTTGGCTTTCTCCCTCCTCCAAGTCGCCATCCTAAACACATCTACAGATAGAATCTGGCAGTGGAGTGAGTTGCTCTCACCTCTAGCAACATGTGGATATGGGCCTTAATATTCATGGAGTCCTTGGTGAGGCTGTTGCTGAGCCTGGAGAAAAGAAATAAGAAAGGGTAAGGTGGGCCCCACTTATGAGGATGACCCTTCCTCATCATTTCAAGAACTACCTGCATTCTGGATGACTCCCACTTGGCCCAGTTCTATGAAGAGATGGCTGGCCACCATCTGGGATTCACCAATTCAAAGATTATTGAATGCATGTTGTATACCACACAGTTTTAAAGGACTGGGGAGATGACAGCAAAAAACAAAATTCCCAACCTCAGGGAGCTCAAATTCTTGCTAAGAGAGACAAATATATGATGTAATAAAATACATGATATGTCAGATGGTTGTTAAGTACTGTACCAGAAAAAATGGACCAATGAGGGAGGATGAGGAGTTAGGGAAGTGGGGACTACAATTTTAAACAGAGCATTTGAGTCAACATTTAAAGAAAGGGAAGAAGTGAATGGTGTGATTATGTGGCAGATGTGTTCCACACACAAGGGGCAGCCAATACAAAGGCACCAAGGGCCAGGGATTTAGCTCAGTGGTGCCACCACCTGGCTTATAAGTGCAAGGTCCCAAGTTTGATCTCCGGTACCAAAAAAACCAAAAAAACCCCAAAGGCACTGTGGGCATGTGCCTGGCATATTTGAGGTACACCCAAGAGGTAACTGTGGCTGAAGAATAAATGAAGGGGGACTGTTAGAGGTGGGGCCAGAGAGGTAAAGAGAGAGGTAAATCACGTAGACTATGGTAAAGACCTTTGTTTTTATGCTAAGTGAGGCGGGTTCCAGGGAACGGTGGTAAGCAGAGGAGGCAACTGACTGGGGTTTAGGATTCATTTGGCTTCTGGGGTAGAGAAGTGACTGAGGATAAAGAGCTAATGAAGAGATAGGAAGTGCAGTGAGAAAGGTACTGCAATAGTCCAGATGAGAGATGGTGACAGTGGCAGCAGTTGACGTAACAAGAAGTAACTGAATTTGGGGTTATTTTGAAGATAGAGCCAACAGGATTTACCAAAAAGTTCGATGTCAGGTATGAGACAGGACTCCAGGAGGAGGCCAAGGTGCAAGGAACTGGGAAGCTGGAGTTGCCTGCAACTACTCTAGTCCTGGACTATTGGGTTACACAGACCAGTCAGTTCCTTTAGTCTAAGCCTGTTTGAATCAGGTTTCAAGAAAAAGAATCTCAGTGGGGTTTGGTGGTGCACACCTGTAATCCTAGCACTTGGGAGGCTGAGGCAAGAGGATTGCCACAATTCGAGGCCAGCCTAGGCTACACAGTGAGTTCAAGGCCAACCTGAACTACATAGCAAGAAAAGAAAAGAAAAATAAAGAATCTCATGGAGGGTCAATGGAGGTGTTTTTGAAAAAAAAAAAAAGAGAATTAGAAAGAACTGAAGATGGAGTAAGAGTTAAGCATCAGGAGGGTCTTTTCCAAAGAAAGCCCAAGAGGCAGGAGAGATTTTGGAGGAGCAGCTAGGAGGTCAGAGTGTTAGAAATTCAGTGAATGGTAAAGGGAGGTGATATATGATAAGGTCCAAGTGGTAGGAAGGAGCTAGCTCAAGCCTTGACAGTATGATAAAGAATGTGGATTCTATTGTGCTGAGTATCTGTCAATACAGGAGTCAATTTGAGGTATAAATAAAACTAAGTATTGTTATGAAAAATAAATGGCAATGACCTAGGATGTTAAGTTGGAAAAAATAGTATGAGCCTAATATATACCAGCATCTCCCAAATTTATATTGCCAGCCCAAATTTGTCTCCTGAACTTGACTTGGGAATTTTAAATACATCTTCAAAACATTCACATCAGTGTTTAATAACTTCACAGTTCCAAGACTGAATTCCTGCTCTTCCTCTCCCAATCTGTTCCTCCCAGCTTCTCAATCTCAAACAATAGAAACACCATCCTTCTAATTGCTCAATAAAAACCTAGATCCTCTCATTTTCATTTTCTCTTTTTGTGCTGCTAGGGATGGAACCCAGGGCCTCATGCCTGCTAGGTAAGCACTCTACCACTGAGCTACACCCACAGCTCCAAGACTCCTCTCTTTTTCTCACACCCACATCCAATCAGTCATTCTATTTAAAATCACAATGGCTCCACCCTAGGCAATGCTTCCAATTTCCATCACGTGCTCTTTCTCTGTAGAAGTGTCAACATCTACCATACTATATCCTTTACTTCTTTATAGTCTGTCTCCTTTAATTGGAATGGTGGTTGCACAGTGGCAATGACTTTGGTCTGTTTTGTTCCCTGCTGAATCCCCAGAAACCAGAACAGTGTGTGACAGAGTAGGCACCCAATGGATGCTGAATGAATTAAGTGAAAGACTACTCCATTCAAAGGAACCTGAAGTTCTCCAAAGATATTTGAGTCTATGTTCAGGGATAGGAAATGAAGCATGGTATTGTTATTGGAGAGCATGTACACTTTCAAGAATATCTGGGAGTGCTCAAAAACTCAAAAATGAGACCGGGCGTGGTGGTGCATAACTGTAATCCCAGCACTCGGGAGGCTGAGGCAGGAGGACCATCACAAGTTTGAGGCCAGCTTGGGCTACAGAGTGAGTTCAAGGCCAGCCTGAATTATATAGTGAAACCTGTCTCAAAACAAAACAAAACAAACTCAAGAATGAACTCGGTCAGCTCCTAAGGGACAATTTTAACATCAAAAAAGAGAAAAACATTAGTTAATGATACAAGATTAGTCTATGAAAGGCTATGAGTTCACTTGGAAATGAGAGGGCTGAGAGTGTAGCTCAGTGGTATTGTGTACTTAGCATATACAAGGTCCTGAGTTACCTCCCCAGCACCAAAAGAAAAAAAATGGAAAGGATTAAAATAAAAAGTTCACCAAATGCTAGTTGTATACAAAAAGGATATGTTTAATCTATTACTACTGATTTCATAAGGCAATATCAATACTCATGTTTATGTTATTTCTTCTATAATTACATTTCTATTTATGAGATGTGTGTGTTCTTCTTTCTGTATAATCAGAAAAAAACACACATAGAGACCTGATTCCCTCCCCCCTTCAAAGAAATACACTAAAAACAGGAAGAAGTGGTAGGCAATTTTAGTTACATAAAATAATCAAAAAGAAAGTTTATGTACCAAGTAACCGAGTATTTCAAATAGGAAGGATAGCTACAGATTCAAATCTTCATCTTTTAGAAAGATTAAACTTTTAGACAGTTGTACTAATTCCAATAAAGCAATATGAGAGTCAACCACAATTTTCATCACACAAAAAGACCAGGTCAGCATAACAAGACCAAAAGAGGCAGACACTGACAACTTAAAATATCTCATTTGGGGGAAAGATACCAAGTCTCAAAAAATTAAAATCTAATGAAAGACCCCAAAATCCTGTGACAAAAGAAGCAAAGCTTTGTTATAAAAACTGGAAATGGTCTAAAGGACCATCAGTTCAGAGCTGTGCTGAGCATGAAAGCAGCACCCCCAACCCCCCGCCCCCACGCCATTGAGCTATTTGCTACTTGGTCTGATCATCAAGATTGAGAAATCTCAGCAGGTCTCAGGTCCACTAACACCAAAACCCTGGAAAGGTCTGAAAGGTTAAAAGGAGGTGACTCTAGACGAAATGAATGTAGGCATAATCATAACCAAGAAGAAATGTCAGATCACTGGTGTTCACGCTTGTGAGATGTTATCAATTTAAGTTTATTGCTCAACACCCTCACATTCATTCCATCTGAGACATGCTTATCTGTTGGCAGTCTGTGGGCATACTAGGTACACTGTCCCCTTCACCAGGAATAGCCCTTTACCAGATAGCCCTATGGCTATTCACTCGAATAACCCAAATGTCACTTCTTTCCGGAGGCCTTTCCTACCTATATTTCAAACCCTACACCCATGCTCCAGCTGCCCTTCCCTGCACAAAAATTAAACTCATCTGGAGCCCACACTTTCTCTCTCTACTACTACCCACATAGATTTGCTTCAAGCACCACTTCCATTTGCTTCCAGCACACCCTTTTAAATTCATTCAACAAACAGAGTGTCTACTATAGTAGCACACAGCACTATTCTAGTTATATGAGGTACAGACAAACTCTCTCCCTTTACAAAGCTTATCACCTAACTGGAGGAGATGAATATAAGAAAGAAAAAAATTACACAGTAAAGATTAAGAGGTGATAAGTGCAGGGAAAAAAGAAAAAGTAGAAGGAGGGAATCAAGAGTGCTAGGAGGATGTAAGGGGGGAATGGTATAAAATAAAATTTATTTTTAAAAAAAGAGTGCTAGGAGTTGCAGTTTTAAAGTCCAGATACAGAAGACCTAGTTGAAGTGATATTTAAGTGAGACAACCGGTTGAAAAGAAAAGAAGCCATATGAGAAGAGCATTGCAGGCAGAGAACAGGCATTACATATGCCCCAAGGTGGGGTCATTTTGGGGGTTAAAGAAGCATTTGAAGGTCGGTGTGGTGAGATCATAGTGAATGAGCAGGAAAATTATAACAGGAGGTGAAGTGAGAGGTAACTTGTTTTATTGTTACTGATTTATAGATGGAAACCTCATGGATCTGGTAATAATTTTATGTATGCATAACAGAACAGTCCCTCCAGAATGTAAGCCTTCAAGGAACTCATCACTGCATTTCCCACCACCAAGCACAGAGCCTGGCGTCAAGGAGGTACCCAATAAATATTTTGTGAATGAATGATACGAAGACCATTTACTGGGTGCTTATTACACATTATACCTGGGACTGAGCTATCTATCCCCACTTTCCTCAGCCCCAGCCCTGAGGAGAAGGGGAGATAGGTCCCTATGTACCATCCCAGGTAGCTATGGGGAAAGGCAGAAGAGTTAAAAATGGTGGTGCTTTTATTCATTCATGTATTTTTTTTTTTGGTGTAGTGCTGGGGACGGAATCTAGGGCCTAATTATGCTAGGCAAATGCTCTACCACTAAGCTACACCCCAGGTAATGGTGGTGTTTTTAGACACTATCCTTATGGAATGGACTTACTCTGTGAGGAGAGAGCTCTTACGATCAATGAATTTGAGAGCTTCTGCCAGTGTCAACTCCAGGAAGAAACCATATCCCAGGGCCACGTAGATGTGTGAAGTATCAGAGCTGAGGAAACAGGTCAAAGGAAGTGGAGAAGTCCCTATTACTGTTTAGTATACTACACAATTTATTAAAATGTTTCTCACTCCCTCCCCTTCCCCAAATAGACGCTCTGGGAGGGCAGGGATTTTGTCCTATTTTATCTATTTACTGTCACATCTCCCAGTGCCTAGCTGATATCTAACAAAATATAAAGGCTAGTACAGTGTCTGGTATATGGAAGACACTCAAATATTTGTTGCATGAAGGAAGGGGGAAGCTGAACCCTGTTGGCTTAGAGGGGTGGGTAGACACTCACACCACTGTGTCAACGAAGAAGTTACAGCCCAAATCCACCTGCATATATAACTCCGAGTGCTTAGCTTCCTGTGGGGCCAGGGAAAAAGAGGTAGGGATCAGTGGTCAACTTTTAGGCCAGGTGATAGGTCTTGGTCTGGGGTCTCTCTTCCCATCTCCCTCCCTTTCCCTCCTTCAAAAAAATTGGTATCTAACCCTAAAGTCTTTACCTGGAGCCGCTCAATGACATTTTTCAGTTGAAGGTATTTGGCCAGCTGCTCATATACCTTGTCTCGATGGTCCAGCACCTTTCTGATAGGATAAAAATATAATGGTGACCAACAAGCAGCCCTGTCCCTTTGGGAAATACCTCACATCATGCCCCCAAAAGGGATTTTATGTTGAAATTATGATTTTTGGACTCTGGGTTAGTCTGCCTGGGTTTGAATCTAAGCTCCCCCCCTTTATTAGCTGTATGACCTCAGCAAATAAGAAATATTTCAGATTCAGTTTGTTCATTTAAAAAATAAGAGATAACAGTACTACCTCCTAAGAGTATTTAGGATCAAATAAATGTTTAAAGCACTTAGAATAATGCTGGTCAAATGTAAGTTTATATATTTGTTAGCTATGATTTATTACTATTATTGTACTCTACTCTCAGTGCCTCCTGCCAATCAAAATGGTCCATCTTCTCCCTAGAAAAATTACTCATTCCTTTTAGGATGTTCACAGGGTCTTAGATTTGAATACTTTACTTCCTGCTCAGATTAGTAATGATAGCAACAACAGTTCTTCATACTCATTGAGACTCTGGTATGTTTCAGGCATCCGCAATAAATTCTTTTTCTTGAGACAGGGTCTCGCTATGCAGTTCAGGATGGCCTTGAACTCACAGAGATCCTCCTGCCTCAGCCTCCTCAGTACTGGGACCACAGGCGTGCACTACAATGACCAGCCCAATAAATTCTTTATCTTAAAGAACTTTAGTTTTCATTTTTTATCCTTCCAACCCTTTTTTGTTGATTTTTATTGAGATAGGGTCTCACTCTGTTGCCCAGGCTGGCCCTGAACTATTTAAGCCTCCTCCCTAAACCTTCTGACTACGTAGTTGGAAATACAAGCACAGAGCCACGAACCTGACCTCGTGCTAAATTTTTTACAAAGACTGAACACATTGGAAACTCAAAATCGCTGTATAAGCCTCCATAAACTTCCCTATTTTGCATATGAAGAAAGTTTACAAGGCAGAGAAAGAAGAGGCTAGGTGATGTACAATGTGTTTAGGTTGGCAAAGTAGCCAAGGAAGGACTCGAACCTGAGAACTAACTTGAGAAATCTAGGAGTAATCCAAAACAAAAAAAACCAAAAACAAAAATGGCCACCCTATATCGCGCATGCGCAGGTACGCCCGTTCCATCCAAATCCGCACCCTGGACATCCCCCCCACCCCACCCCTACGCCCTGAACTGCGCCTGGGATCTGACTCCCAACTCACCAATCCGAATGATTGGCTCTGACTCTAAACGCCCCACCCACCACGTGAGATGTTCCAAACGGCACGCCTTCCGCACTGTCACTCACCGCAAGTCCCGCTGCAACACGTCACTGATGAAGGCCTCATAGCGCAGCACTTTCTCCCCGGTGGCGTCTACGGCCCGCCGTTTAGGGGGCGTCGCCATGATGAGGTCCTGGGGAGTGGAAAGGAGGAAGACCATGTTGACCAAGCCAGTTTGGCATCAAGCACAATTCATCACCCTCTCAAGTTTGGGAATGGGGTTGTACGGCACATGCTGGGAGGGTTCTGCCTTCTGGCCCTCCCAAGTGTGGGACTCGTTAACCTATGGACATCCAAATGCGGCCCTTACCTTTAGGCCGCCGGCAATAAGTATTGGTACGAACCGCAGCTTCCGGGTGGCGCAGGTAAATGACGTAGGAGCAAACGCGCTGACCAACCAAATAGCCAGCTGAGCCGTGGCAGTCCTGAACGGAAGAAGGCTGGCCAAAGGGAAGAGGAGAGGGGCGGGCTTTACGGAATTAGGGAGACCACGGAAGACTGCAGAGTTTGGGAGCAGGGACTGTCTGGCTTGAACTGGCCAGTGGAGGAATGTGAATTCGGGGCGCGGGGCCCTTGGAAATCGCGCTTGACAAATGGAGGTGGGGTTTAATGGGATTTGGCGGGTGTTGAGGGAGTTAAGACGCACGGGGAGAGGTAGGGAGGAGTGAAACGTTTCGAATTGAAAATGCAGGGCCTTGAGCGCACGCCTTTAACCTCACCACTCTGAGAGGTTAAAGCAGGAGGATCGCAAATTCGATCCCAGCCCGGGCAACTAGGCGATTTAGCGAAGACCCTGTCTCGAAATAAAAAATAAAAAAGGGACTGGAGATGTAGCTCAGTGTGAATATCTTAGCTTAGGTTCAATCCCCACTACAGAGGCGAGAGTTGGGCTTTGGTAGCAGCCGGGCAGGAATTGACTATGCTTCCAGTCTGTGAGAATAGAAAGATATTTCCTGTAATCTGTTGGCCTGGATATTGATTGTTTACAAGGAAAGTTTGGGTTTCACTCCCAGTTATGGGAATGGTTATGAACATTAAAAAAAAAATTAAACGGAGACAAGTTTTCTAAAGTTCGTCTTTAATGACTTCTAACTGGACCACAATCCGTAACTCAAGTGGAAAGTGGCAAAGCACTATGTATTACCTCACTTAATAGTCAAATAAGGGCTGGGGATTTAGCTTAGTGGTGCCGCCACCTGCCTCGAAAGCACAAGGACCCGAGTTCGTTCCCCGGTACCAAAAAAAAGCCAAATGAATGGTTGCCGAAGCCCGCCGAGAATAGGCTAAGTTTAGTTAGGAATAGTTCCTGTATTTTTAATTAAACGTGTAAGTTTTTTATGAAGTTATTTTTATGCACTCGAGTGAATACATTTGCTTTGCATATTAGATTTTCAAGTAGTAGCATCTAGTCCAGCAACTGAAGGAGTGAACCTGGAGAACCCAGACACTAGGAATTTCTCAAATGCTATTCCTACCTGAAAGGCCTAGAGCACTCACCCCTACCCAGGAAGTCTTCCCACGTAATCTGTGCTTTTGATATGTAAAAGCAAGGTTTAGTGGTTTTTCTTAAAATGGGCAAAACCTAAGCAAACCAAGCTTTTCTTTGCCCTTAAAAGAAAGTGATTTTTAAGGAAACTTTGAGAACAAATCAATTTTTAAAATATCTCATGTTAAACTGGGGGTGGGGGTGGGGGTGACAGCGGCGGCATCGCTAGCCTGTAATCCGAACGCTGGGGAGGCTGAGGCAGGAGGATTGCTGCAAATTCAAGGCCAGCCTGAACTACACAGTGAGACCCTATCTCAAAAAACAAAACAACACAAATCTCATGTTACTTTTGGTTAAAATTACATTTGATCTTGAAACAGACAGTAGGTCATTAGAACAAATATTACCCTGTTAGTGTATACTACTCTCCTACAAGAAAAGAGAAAACATGCATTGTCTTTACGGGAAGAATATAGTTCTGATGGGCTGGGGATGGTTCTGTATAAGTTTATAACTTAAAAAAAAATTTTTAAAGTTTCCAACTTTTACATTTCAAACCTAGAGAAGAGTTAACAGTGAATACCCATAGAGCCTTCACTAAGGTTCACAAGTTGTTACTATCTGGCTACATTTGCTTTCTCTCTCCAGACCACATGATAATGGTTGCTACAGATGTATAGTATTCCATCCTTTGGATGACTTCAGATGTTTGAGCCACTCTTCTTTATTGGATTTTTTTTTTTTTTTTTTTGGTTTTTTGAGACAGGGTCTCAATTATGTAGTTTAGGCTGGCCTTGAACTTACTATGTAGCCCAGGGTGGCCTTGAATTTGTGGCAATTCTCTGGCTTCCCTAGTGCTGGGATTACAGGTGTGTGACCCCATGCCTGACTAGATATTTGAATGTGTACTTTTAAAAATTATTATAATATAGGATGGGATAATAGTCTTTGCTTTCAAGTTTTTATGTACAATCATGATTGTTTCCTTGTAATAAAGTTTAGAAGTAGAATTTATAGCTGGGCCTATTCTGTAGTTCAGTATAGCTGGACAGGCCATCTAAACTTTCTAACTTTCAGTTTCTCATCTACAAAGTTAGGCATTGAGTCAGGTGTGATGGCACACCTCTAATCCCAACACTCAGGAGACTGAGGCAGGAGAATTGCTGTGAGTTCAAGGCCAGCCTGGGCTACATAGTGAATTAATTCAAAGCCAGCTAGAACTACATAGCAAGACCCTGTCTCAAAAAACAAAAAAGTTGAATTTGTGAATTAGGTAGGTCACTCCATCATAAATCTAGTATTAAATGACCATTGTATACATAATTCCATTAAAACCTCTAAGCATGTATACATCAGGAGTCAGCAAACTACAGCTTCTTTTGTTCTCACCCTAGATGTTTTCCTATGGCCTGTGAGCTAAGAATACTACTTATATTGTTTAAATGATTGCAAAAAGTAAAAATATTTTTTGGAAATGATGTGAATTTCGAATTTTAGTGTCTAATAATAAAGTTTGATTGGAACAGAGCCACACCTACTCATTTGAATTATCCACTGCTGCATTTATGCTCTAGTGGCAGAGTTGAATAGTCATTAGAGAGACCACATGGCCTGGAAATCCTAACATATTTACTGTTTGGCCTTTTACAGAAAAAATGTGCCAACCCAGGTTTGAGAGAATCATGTCAGTCACCAGTGTAGAGGTTGGGGGCTGTAACCACATGGGCCTCTCTGCCTTCCACTGGTGACCTCTTACCTGGTAAATGAGTGAACGATTTTAGACTTGTACTGGGTACACTGGGATTTTAGCCTCATACTTTTTTTGTTTTTGTTTTATAGTATTGGGGATTGAACCCAGGGCCTCTTGCATGCTAGGCAACCATCCTCCTGCCTCACTTCCCTAGTAGCTTGGATCACAGGCATGCACCACCAAGCCTGGCTTAAATAGGGTCTTTAGTAAAGCAAACACTTTTACTTTTGAAGTCCAGTTTATTGATTAAAATATATTTTGGATGCTGCTTTTGATACCATGTCTAAGAACTCTTCAAAAGCCTGAGCTCCCAATGATTTTATCTTTTTATTTTAAAATTTTTATAGTTTTATATTTTAGGTTTAAATCTATGATTTTTAAAAACAGCTTGATTAAATTCACACATTTGAAGTGTTCAATGGTTATTAGTTCAGTGGTCTAAACCATTGAACTAATAATCATTGAATGGTTTTTAGTATATTCATAGAGTTATGCAAACATCACCACAGTCTAATTTTAGGATATTTTCATCACCCCAAGTAGAGTTCCCATGCTCACTACTCAGCCCCCCCACATCAGTCCTAAGCAACCACATGTTTACTTTCCATCTCTAGATTTGTGTGTTCTGGACATTTTATATAAATGGAATCATATAATATATGGCCCTTTGTGCCTGGCTTTTAAAATTAACATAATGTTTTCAAAGTTCATTTATCCATGTTTTTGTTTTATTTTGTTTTGTTTGTTTTAAAACAGGGTTTAGCTATGCAGTCCAGGCTGGCCTTGAACTCATGGTGATCCTCCTGCCTCAGCCTCCAGAGTGCTGGTAATACAGGTGTGTGCCACCACCCCCAGCCATTTATCCATGTTATAACATCATCAGTACTTTATTCCTTTTTATGGCTGAATACTATTCTATTATGTATATTTATCATATTTTCTTCATCCATTACAACAATCTGAGTAAAATCTAAAACAGTCACTTGCCTTTAAGTCCTTTTGTCTTAACCCTTGTATAGCATTAGATAATACAGGGATTTCCTCTATATTCATAGGAAACCACATCAGTGTTATAATTTTTGCTTCAGCCATTAAGCACCATTTAGTAAACTCAAGAAAATAAGAACTCTATTTCATTTACCTCTATTTCATTCCTTCTGTTGTTATGCTTTTCTTTCTAATGTTTCAGAATTATTTCTCTTTCTTCTCCCCCTACCCCACTGGAGATTGAGCCCAGGGTGCAGCAAGCTACATCCTTAGCCCTTAGAAAAAGTTGGGGTTTTTTAATTTTGGTACCAGGGATCGAACTCAGGACCTTGCGCTTGCAAGGCAGGTGGTAGCACCACTGAGCTAAATCCCTGGCCCTAAAAACAGTTTTTTGAGACAAGATCTCACTGTGTAGTTCAGCCTGGCCTTGCACTTACTATGTAGCCCAGGCTGGCCTCGAACTTGGAATGATCCTGCTGCCTTAGCCTCTTGAGTGCTGGGATTACTCACTCATCATGTCTGGCTGAAAAAAAAAAATTTTATTATGACACAAGATCCCCCTTCGTTGCCCAGGCTGCCCTATTAAATCCTCCCGCTTTAACCTCTGGAGTAGCTGGTATTATAGGTATGCACCACCACTGTACCCAGCAGGATTTATTCCTTTATCATTGCCCTTCTGTTCCAATGATTTCCTTTAGCCATTTTTTTCAAGGTAGGTCTGCTGGTAACAAATTCCTCAAGTGTTCCTTAATCCAAGAATTTTTTTTTGTTTTTTTGTTTTTGGTACCAGGGATGGAACTCAGGACCTTTCACTTGCAAGGCAGGCAGGTGCATTGCCACTGAGCTAAATCCCTGGCTCAATTCAAGAATGTTTTGATCTCTCCTTCATTTCTAAAGGGCATTTTTAAAGCTGGGCGTGGTGGTGCATGCCTGTGATCCCAGCACTCAGGAGACTGAGGCAAGAGGATCATCATGAGTTCAAGGCCAGCCTGAAGTATATAATGAGACCCTGTCTAAAGGGGGAGGACATTTTTGCTGGTTAAAAAATTCTTGGTTGGGTGGTTTCAGTGGCACATACCTATAATCCCAACTATTCTGAGGCTGAGGCAGGAGGATTGCAGGTGAAGGCCAGCCTGAGCAATTTAGCAAGACCTTCTCTCAGAGTACAAGTTTTAAAAAGGGCTAAGGACATAGTTCAGTGGTAAGCACCCTCGAGTTTTATCCCCAGTATTGAATAAAACAAACAAGCACACAAACAAAAAACCCCACAATGGATTCTTGTTTGGCATTTCTTTTATTTCATCACTTTGATTTTTTTTGTTTGTTTGGTTGGTTTTTTGGTACTGGGGATCGAACTCGGGTCCTTGTGCTTGCGCAGCAGGCGTCGAAACCACTGAGCTAAATCCCCAGCCCCACATCACTTTGATTTTAATACCACCTTCTGGCTACCATGTTTTCTGATGAGAGAGAAATTCACTGTCATTCAAATTGTTTTTCCTATGTAGATAAGATATTATTTCTCTCTGCTTTCAAGAATTTTTCTTTGTCTTTAATTTTCAGAAGTGTGCCAATGATGTGGTTGGCCTGAGTTCCTTTAGGCTTATCCTCTTTAGGGTTTTTTTCAGCTGCTTGAATCTGTTTTTTTTTTTTTTTTTTTGCCAAATATGGAAAAATTCAGAATTCTTTTCATGACCTTTTTAGCCTTGTCTTTTTTTCTTTCTCATTTCCTTCCTAAACTTTGATGACACACAAATGATAGAATTTTTGGTTCCACCTATCCCTGAGGCTCTATTCCTTTTTTTTTTAGTCTATTTTTGCTCTTGTTCCTATTGAGTAATTTCTATTATTCTGTCTCCAGGTTCACCATCATTGAGGTGATTTTCTTTTTTTTGTAAGCCCTAATGGTAATAGCCGCTATTCAGTAGCAAGAGTTGGACCCTCTAAGTTAATTCAGGGTCCATGTGTAGTATAAGCACCATTTCATTTCACTTGGATGGGTAATTTTTACTTCAATTTTTTTTGGGGGGGCCGTGGGTACCAGGGATTGAACTCTGGACCTTGCGCTTGTGAGACAGGCGGTGGCACCACTGAGCTAAATCCCCGGCTGATTTTTAATTTTCTATTGACACGTAGTAATTGTATACATTACATTAATGGGGTTCAGTGTGATATTTCCATACAACCATATAGTATGCTCTGATCAAGTCCAACCACCCTTTATCCCCTTTCCCCCCTCCTTTCCTAATTTTGAGTAATCAATATTCCACTTTCAGCTCAGTGGTTTTTAACTGTCACATATGAAAAAGAACAGGTGGCACTTGACGTTCTGTGTCTGATTTGACTTATTATGTGTTCTGGTTCCATCTAGTTTCTTGAAAATGACAGGATTTCATTCTTTATGGCTAAGCTATAGTCCAGTATGTGTATGTATATATATATATATATGTATATATATATCACATTTTCTTCATTCATCTGTTAATGGGCACCTAGGCTGATTCTGTATCTTAAAGTTTGTGAATAGTGCCACAATTAATGTGGGTATGCAGGTAGCCCTGGTATACTGACTTCATTTACTTTGGATATATACCCAAAAGTGGGATACCTGTGAGATAGGAGATTAGAGCATGACAAAGCTGGCTGGGGAAGTAGGCATCACTTGTTAATTATAAGATCCCAGAACACGTGGGCAGAACAATTCCCAAAGCCCTGTACATGGACTTCTCTCGAGAATTCAAGAAGATTTTCAATAGGATGGCCTAGCCCTGACATTAGTCTGAGGCGTGGGATCCCAGCACAGCTTTTCAGGACCTATATGTAGAAGTTCTCTCAAGTTTCCTTGAGATTTGTATAGTATAAAGGGACACAGATGCCAAAAAGAGCTTGCTTTTGTGGCTTTCCTCATGATAGCCCACCCTGCTTTTTCCAGGGTGTTCCTTTATCTTGCTTTTTCCTTTTACTCGGTCCAAGCTTGCTCTGCAGAGCCAGTTTCTCCCTTACTCTTCACTTTTACTCTTGTCACTGCTGTTTGCTCATTTCATTTAATTCTTTGTCTGAGATGAGAACCTGGAATCCAACTTCAGAAGAAGAAACAAGCAACCTAGAACCCACTAATGTTTAATTGGTGAGCCACTTTCAGAAGAAGCTACCTGATAACATTTGGGTATAGCCTGGAGATTCTGATAACAGCTGGATCATATGGTAGATCTATTTTTAATTTTTAGAAGCCTCCATACTGTTCTCCATGATGGCTGTACTGTTTTACATTTCCACCAGTAGTGGATTAGACTTTTTTATCTCTACACCTCCACCACCACTTCTTTTTTTTGAGACAGAATCTCCCTATGTAGGTTAGGCTGGCCTTGAATTCATTACTTAGCCTAGGCAGGCCTGGAATTTGAAGTGAGCCTCCTGCTTCAGCTTCAGGTATGCACTACCACACACAAACACTTTAAAAATACCAGTCAAACTCAGATAAGATGTTATCTTGTTGGATTGATATGTTTTTCCTTCAGGGCTAATGATATTGAGCATTTTTTTCATGTCTTGTTGGCCATTTGTGTTTCTCTCTCTCAATTGAAACCAGGGAGCCCCACTGAGCCCCAGTGCTTTTAAAAATTTTATTTTGAGACAAGGTCACACAAAGTTTCCCAGGTAGCCTCAAACTCCCTGTCCTCCTGCCTCAGCCTCTGGAGTAGCTGGGATTACAGGCATGCGTCAAAATACCTGGCATGTATTTTTTCTTTTGAGGGATGTCTATTCAGATGATTTTCACATTTTAAACTCAATTGCTTGTTTTTTATTAAGTTTTTTTTTGAGTTCTTTATATATTATGGGTATTATCCCTCTGTCAGATGAATAATTGGCAATTTTCCCGCATTGTATAAGTTGTCTCTTCACCCTGTCAATTGTTTCCTTTGCGGTGCAGAAACTTATTACTTTGATTTAGTCCTATTATAGACAGCTAAATGAGATAGAAATTAATAGGCAGTCAGAGAGGGATTGGACCCTTGAGAGAGTCAGTGCAGAAGATAAAACATCAAAATTGTGGTTTGAGGCAAATCTGAGGAGAGTTAGGTTTTAAAATAGAGATATGATGGCTCTACCTGCAAGCCTCCCTAAAGATACACAGCAGCTTGAGATTATACTGTAATTAGCACCATCTGGTCCAGTGATCCCAAATAGGGCATTAGAACATAGGGAGGTGACCAGAACAACCTGATCCATACTCTCATCCATTTCTAGGAATGCCATTGTTCTTTCCCCATTAAAATTATAGATGAGCTAAAGTTAATGATGCTCACCATATACCCTTGCTATATGCCTCACTTCCCTATTGGATCAATATTAGCTAAGCAACTATACTTGTAATCCTATAGACTGATTGTTGTTTGGCCCATAGCTACCCACATTGTACCCACATTGTGATTTTGCTGTGTAAAATATCCTTAGACAAAGAGTCTCAGTGGCAACCCACTTTTGGGACCCCTCCTATCAGGAACTTTCTCTCAGTAAACCTTTTCTACTCTTATCCTTCTTTGCCTCAAAATCCATTCTTTGATATCAAGAGACATGAACTCAGCACATCTGACATCTAACAGGTTGGGAGGTATTTTTCCCCATCCCAGAGTGGAGATCCCACCAAGATCTTTGGAAGGAGATAAGAGTTGCTTTTGTTTCATGGCACCCCATTAGTGTATTTTGAATGGATCATGACTTGTTTAGGTAATTCAGAATTGTCATCCCTTGTTTGTCAGTTGCTTACACCTTGTTTTTTTTTTGTCAGAATGATAATAGGTTTAAATTGAGGGCATGGAATGATTGTGATGCCTTTTATATTTGGGTTTCTTTGATGGTACATCTTTTGTTTTTCAAACAGGGCTTTGTATTCCTTCCTGGACTTGTAATTGGCTTACAGCTCGTACTCTTGGGCATTTCTGAGAATTCAGTCAGAGGTGATGGGACAGGTTTTGGGAGTTCACCTTTTGTAGAGATGGTAGTAGCTATTATCAGGCAGTGGTAATGTGCTTCCCTTTGCAATCCTGAGACTCTTTTTCCATTTCAATTAGAGCCTCCTGAACCTTTAGAAAATGAATGCTTATTTATAGGGTCACCAAAGATAAGAGACACTTGCTCTCTCTTCCCATTTGATGTCAGGAGGTATTCTCTGAGATGTGTAGTGATCTTGTGGGACTGCATAACTCTGTAATCATAAAACTCCCCTAGCCCCAACCGTGATTGAATGTGAGTAAATAGATAAAGATGCTTGTTAGTTCCGGACACTAGATAAGATCTGTATCAGCCATAATTATTCAACTCTTTGTTCAAAAACTAAACTGATGTTTGGACATGCTATCTATAGAACAATCTGCAAAACATCTGCTGACCATCAATACATGTCAGGCTAATTAATATGCAAATGTAAGACCACTAACCTTTGTTCCCTCTTCTGTAAATTTCGACTGTTAACTTCCCTGCAATCCCCTATAAAAAGAGCCTCAGACACTGGGCTGATCGCCTCTCTAAGCTACTTTGCTTTGGGAGTGCCGTCTGGCCAGACTAAGGTCTGTTTCACTTTCCAACTTGTCCGGTGTGTTCCTTCCCGGGTGTTCTTCACTGCAGTCAGCTCCTTGGAGCATTTGGTAAGGCCCTTGGTCTTACATTCTGGAGGCACCACTGGGATCCCTGGGTGTGCTTCACTACAGTCAGCTCCTTGGAGCATTTGGTAAGGCCCTTGGTCTTACATTCTGGAGGCACCACTGGGATCCCTGGGTGTGCTTCACTATAGTCAGCTCCTTGGAGCCTTTGGTAAGGACAGTGGTCTTACAATCTCAATAGACATTCCTTTAATATAGACCACATACCCCAGATGGGAATTGGAAATCATGCTCATCTAGGAAGATACAGTATAGGGATGTGGCCTACCCAGTTCCTTGAGCAAGTGTCTCATGCGACTGACAGGAGAAATTCTCATCCTGAGACACCATGGAGAGAACTGATCTCCAGGCAAGACTGGAGAAAGCTATCTCCAAACATGCAAATTTATGAACCCCTAAACACTATAGTGCCCTTCTGATCTCCTCTCCCTCCCTCCTTCTCCCCCTCTAGCTCCAAATTACAAAAGATTGTTCAGCTCCCTTGATCATTGGTTTAATTTTCTGTTTGGCAATGCTTCCCTTCTTAAACAGGGATGTTATAGCAATAGTCAGTTGTAGCTTTTGCTTTTAGAAACATGCTTTAGAATTGGTAATATGAGCTTAAGGCATAGGAATGGCAATTCAGAGGAAGTAGCTGTGGAAACTGGTAAGGGTGGATAATCTTCCAATCACTCTCTAGCTAACACCTACCTACCTACTCTGGAGCAGGGAACCTCAGGGGATGCCCTGAGGCCATATAAAAATAAGCATTAAAAAGGGACACTTTCTCTCCTCCCTTTGTTATTTTTCAGATGGGAACCTGGATGATGAATTCCCTTACTTACTCCTTTGGAGTGTATTCTTAAACAATAGAATTTGGTGAACCCCCAGACTCTAAGAAAGCACCATGTAGCCCTGGAGGCATCACAGAAAAATTTTTTTGAAATGTGCATTATGGCAGGTATATAATGCTCATGTTTATATTTTGAAAGTATTTCTATTGATGAATTATTAATTTTAATTTTAATAGTTTTATTATATCAAACAGTGTGTACTTAACATGAAAATAAAATATCAAATAAAATATTAAATTTTTAATATGTCATGAGTGTTTAGAATAAACACCAACATTTTCAACATCAGCTATTTACCTGCTTACAAGATTTAGAAAGTAACAGCAGGGCCAGGAATGTAGCTCAGTGGTGCAACATCTGCCTGGCAAGCGTGAGTCCCTGAGTTTGATTCCTGGTACCAAAAAAAAAAAAAGTAACAGCAGAAATACATTCCTATGTGAACTACAATGAAAATATGAACAAAACTCTACCATAGACATAATCGTTGCTTCAGTTATCGTACCTGATAGTCTTCACACATGAAAACAGCACATTCCGCACACAAGTCTCACACTGACAGCACGTATGCTTAGATTTCCTTTCCTTTTTGTCCAGCCTCTTTTGTCAGGAGCTTCCTATTGTATCAAACAATGTGTATTTAATAGGAAAATAAAATATCAATCAAATAAAATATCAAGGGCTGGAGGTTTAGCTCAGTGGCGCCAGTGCCTGCCTGGCAAGTGCAAGGTCCTGAATTCGATCCCCTGTTCCACAAAAAAAAAAAAAATATGTAATGAGTATTTATAATGAACAGCAATATTTTCAACATCAACTGTTTGTTTGCTTGTTAAATCTAAATAACAGGATGCAAGGATGTTTCAACATAAATAAATAAACATAATACACTGAGTATTGAGTATTAACAGACTCAAGGACAAAAACCATATGATCATCTCAATAGATGCAGAAAAGGCATTCAACAAAATCCAACACCTATTCATGATAAAAACTCTCCAGAAAATTGGAATAGAAGGTCTTTATCTCAACCTGATTAAGGCTATCTATGAA